ATAGGTGTGTCAGCAGATAGCTTATTAATAACAGCTACCATGACACTTCCCAGAGTTTTGATGTTGTTTGTATGAAAGATTTTATTTTCCAGAGATGGTCACCACATTCTCTCATCCCAGATGCTCTTATTATAAGGTGACTGACACACCTCTCACTGACAGGTTCCCTCTCCTTGAGCCTGAGGGGACTTGTATCTGTGGCTGAAGGGATGTTGTAGAAGGCAGAATAAAGGTCTCCCCAGTGTCCACAACCTGTGAATATATTAATGTTACATGGCAAGAGGGAATTGAGGCTCCTAATTAGCTAAACTTGAGGTGGTGAGAATGTTCTGGATAACCCAAGTGTGCCCAAATATAGTCACCTTTTTAGTGGATGGGAGAGGCAGAAGGGTCAGAGTTGAGAGAGATTTGAAGGTACTGTGATGCTGGCTTTGAAGGTGGAAGACAGGACCATCAGTCAGGGAATGCGGGTGGCCTCTGGGCACTGGAGAGGGCAAGGGTGTGTATTCTCTCTAGCGCCAGCGGAAGGAGTGCAGCCCTTCTGACACCTGACTTTTATCCCAGGGAGACCCATTTCCAACTTCCGACCTCCAGAGCTAGAAGGCAGTACCTGTGTGTTGCTTTAAGCCCCTAAGTTTGTGGTCATTGGTTATAGCAGCAATGTGAAACTAATATTGGAGCTGTATGACTGCCGCCAGGGGGTTGGGGGGCTCAAAAAAGGAGCTCCGGAGTCCACCTGGTTTTCTCAGGGCCTGTCACCACGCCGTGAGGAAGTGGGAAGATCACGTGGAGAGACCACATATGTAACTGTTCTGACTCCCGACCTCAGCCGAGGCGCCAAGCCACCGTCAGCATCAGCCCAGAAGTGTGAGTGGGCTGCAAGCGGACTCCAGCCCAGCACCACCTGACCGCCACTTCACAGGAGGCCCTGCACAAGGACAGTGTGCTGAGCTTGGCCCATCTCCAGCACCGTGGCAATGACAACAAAATTGTTTTTGTTTTAAGACGCTAAATTTTGGGATGATTCATTGTGTGGCAACAGATAGCCAGAGCAGTGAGTGTATCCCAACTTCTAAAAATTTACTATTCGTCTTGATTTGTTTCATTATAAATATCCATTTTTATACCTATTTTGTAAATTCTACTATTTTTCCTAAAGACAGCCTCTCCAAATTGTAAAATTTCAAACCCACTCCCCCAAATCTGTTCTATGCCTGCAAGTAGTCACCACTTATTGTTCAGAATGTGGTTGAAAGCATAATAAATATATGTAATTAAACAGAAGACCTTGGGAATCTTTGATACAAACCAATCTTTCTTCTTAGAAGTTAAAAAAAAACACCTCATTTTGAAAACACAAGTTAACAAAGCAAAATTAGAGCTTATACTATGTATTTATATGACTTTAAATGTCCATTGCCTTTTCATGGGAGATCAAAATAAGAAATCATGACTTTGACAGATAGTAAAACTTCTTTTGGGAATAAAATGCAGTTAACAGATGCCTCCCAAATTATCCTTCGCTCACAGTGTCAACTTCATAGCTCTGTGATGTCAAGATAGGAAATATCTGAGGTAGGTTATGGTTCTTGGAATAAATCAAAAAAGAATAACGTGTTACATAAATAATAATGTACAGTGTTACAGAATATAGTCTCGGCCACTTAAAATGTATTGGCTTTGGGACGGACCCACCATTTTGAGGTAATTAGTTCTGATTTGAGGAATTGTCGTATTCTCAGTTCATTGTCCTTTGCCATCTTTCTTCATCACATCAAGGCTATTTCATTTATTCTGGCCGACTTTAGGCGCAACAGGAGAGCACCGGATAACAAAGTAATGCGTGTGTGTCGCCCCCGGCCCCCCGCCCACTGAGTGTCCGGTTCTTAGGTTTCGGAGACCGTTTGCACAAGCCTTTCTTGCAGGCTAGGAGAGGCGGGAGGGGCTGAAGCTGCTGCCTGGAAATACTGGTCCTTTTGGGGTCATTCATTCAGATGGTCTCTACAGTGTGGGGAATTCCTACAATTCCAAAGCTCAGCTCCTCAACATCTGAATCTTTTTTCCTTTTTTTTTTTTTTTTTTT